ATTCAGAGGTAATTCATCAGCAAGTTCCTCTAAGGTGTAAATTCTCAGAGTACTTCTGTTTGGCATAATAGTGAAAGATTAGGAAAACCAAGACTTTGTCCTCTAGGAACTAATAACGTAGAACAAAGGGAATCTTACGTAGATGTGTACATATACACACACGTTCACACACACATGAAATCTTGTCAGGCAGGTATGGGATCCAGAGTAATAAGAAGCAGTATCCTTAAATAAAGTTTTCATAAGGGAGTGACATTTGAGAGGACATCGGAAGAGTTTAATGAAGAAAGCAGTTGACACAGGGTGGGCTTTGACTCATTGCAGAAATCTGATGTGTTTATTCAAAGTGTTTCTTCACATCAAATGAAGCTATATGGACCTGAGTATTAGCTTAACCACACTGTGCCTGGGAAGATGTGGGAGGTACTGAAGTAGCTTTAGAAACAACATGTGCATCTTCAGGAATAATGCTTTGCTGTTTTGTCTTCCTCGCTAGATCGCAAGCAACTAGAGGACACGAAACATAACTAGGAACATCTCTGAGTTCCCTCTAGCAAAAAAAAAAAAAAAAAAAACAAAAAAACCGAAAGAGGTGGCAAGCGGGTGTTTGCAGATTGCTTTCTAGAAGAAGAATTTTGCAGGTTGAGAACACAGGAAAGCACAGAGCTAGGAAGGGATTCTTGGAAGGGCACAGAGGTGACACCATTGGAAGTGTCTTCGCTTTTGTTTTTTAGGGACCAGAAAAACAATTATAGGTGATGTTCCTTAGAATGCCCGTGCCTTCTACTCCTCCAGGAAACATAGAAGATACTGCTTCCATATATTTAAACTGTAAATTGAATTTTGCTGAAAAGAGTGGAATTTGACTCTGGTGCATCCTGCTCGTGAGTGCTGGGGCTCCATTGCCACAGAGTGTCACTCAACACGTGTCTTATTAAATGCTGTTTTGGTAACTTTACTAGATGTTCAGTGGTTCACATGCATGCTCACGTTGTTAAGAGGCAGGCAGAGGTGCAGCAGGTGTGTGGCAAGCTCCAGGGAATTAAACGCTGGCCAGAGCCTTCACCTGAGTGGAGGCAGCAGCGGGATTCTGAGACGGTGGGGTGGAATTTTGTTGAAAACAAGGACAACAGTGGCTCTCAGGTTGTAAGGAGGACTGGAGAACAGCTGTAGCTCTGGCTCTTTTGCTAGTTGGGGAGGTGTGAAGCCCTTTACAGAAAGTGTTCTAGGGTGATGGTGGGGTTGCTGGGGGTGGGGCTCAGAGCAAAAGCTCTCGCCTAGCGTTCGTGAGGCACTGGGTTCGATCCTCAGCACCACATAAAAACTAAGTAAAGGTGTTGTGTCCACCTGCAACTAAAGAATAGATGTTTAAAAAGAAAGTGTTCTCCAATGTTGGTCGGTGTGGGTGAATTATAAAACTTAGATGTGATTTCCAGTTTGATTTTTTCATTAGTCGTATGCATTAAGAAATCCTCCGTCTCTCACTGTCCAGTCCAGATGCTAGTGACTTGTAATGAATAACTAAATAGATATTGAGGAATTCCAATGAAATGAGTTAGAGTCTTAAAATAACACGTTTCTCTAATATAATGTGGTGACTTTGGAAAAAAATTCTTGAAGTGAAAAAAAAGGAATAACTCATAAAAAACCGATTTTATGTCTTTTGAAATGTCAATGGATGTTGAATTAGAAAATCAAGACTACCGTAAGACCTGAGAAAATCATGTCTCCTTATGTGTCATTCATGTGTCATTCAATTCTAATTAAATTTTGGCTATGAAAAAAAAAAAGGATTATCATTTGTGAATAATTTAGTGTACCAACAAGATTGCAAGGAAATGATCAGACTGCCTAAGACAAAGAAGTTTTCCAAAACATCTTTAAAATTGCGCTAGAATTGGTCGTGACAAGTGATTTTTCTCGTGACAGTCACTTGCCATAATTCCTGGGCAGAGTACAGACTGTGCGTGATGGGGCCGTACTTGCTTGTCCACTGCAACCAGGGCGTGATGGTGCCAGAGAGGACCCCAGTGCTGATCTAGTGACTGAACCCATGTTTGACCATCCAAGGAACCCAATCCCCCAAAACTTACATCTGAAAGTCCATCCTGTGTCTTGCACTTGTGCTTATTCACAGAGTTCGCACATGTGTTCCATGCTCTTTTCTGTGTTATTAGTTGAAATATATATATATATATATATATATATACACACACACATACATACAGGGCTGGGGCTGGGGCTGGGGCTCAGTGGCACAGCGCTTGCCTGGCATGTGTGAGGCACTGGGTTCGATTCTCAGCACTGCATATAAATAAATGAATAAAATAAAAGTTCATCAACATCTAAAAAATATTTAAAAAGAAAAAAGAATAGAAAAATATATACACAGTGACTGGTCTGGACAGGACGTTGTCAGGCATGGTGAGGTACACAGACCACAAAGTAGCTCACCATTAGAGTGGGACCCACATAGCTGAGGCACAGAAGGGACCCTGTGTGCATGAGTGCCACAGGAGCTACAAAGTGCCGTCTCAGGCCTCATGTGGAAGTAAGGTTGGGAATTACTACTAGTTGAAGAGTTTTAAAAAAAAAAAAAAAAAAGATTTTTCTTAATTATTTACTTTGAGGAGTTTTAGGGAAATAACTCACATCCCCAGGCTTTGGCTTGCTTTCTTATAAACACTAAAATAATAACCTATATGACTTGACTGGTTTGAGGGATTGCCAGGCTAAAATGCCTGTTTTCAGGAATTTTGAAATTCAAGACATCCTCAGCTAGAGAGGTTGATATTTGGCCCACAAAGAACAGTTGCCTTCTCATACATTGGGGTCCTTTGTGGGTTTTTAATATTTGGATTTTATGCAGCACAGGCTTAAAATGAAATTTTCATCTTTTTATTAGAAAAAGCAACTTTAAGCAATCAACTGTTAGAAAAAAAGGAAATTGTCACAGAATTGGCAATGATTCCTACAGGAAGACCCACAGCATCTGGGGTGGATTTCATTTCATTTTAAACAGCCTCACCGCAAACATAAATCCAGAGCTCTCTAATCGTCAGTATCCAGTTAGTCATGGAGCCCGGGGTAGTGGTTCACACCTGGAGTCCCAGCAACTTGGGAGGCTGATGCAGGAGGATCTCAAGTTTGAGGCCAGCAATTTAGAGAGGTCCTCTCATAAAAATAAAAAGGGCTGGGATGTAGCTCAGTGATCGCATGCTTCTGGGTTCAATCCCTAATACCACACCACAAAAGATTAAGATAGGCAGGCATGGAAACTTAATATATGGGAAATAAATAATTATTTTTCTCTCATCACTCCCTCTCCCCACCCCCCTCTCTTTCTCTTTCTCTTTGTGTTACAAGGGGTCCTGCTAAGTTTCCCAAGGTGACCTTGAACTTGAGGTCCTCCTGCCTCAGCCTCCCCAGTCACTGGGTTTTCAGGTGTGCACCACTACACTTGGATGATTAATCTCCTTTTACATAAGCAACTAATAAATAAATTCATTGAGATTCCCGAGAGCAACAGTATAAAGATACTTAAATATTGGAAAGTAGCCTCTGTTGACCATTTCAAGTAAAGTAAGGGTAGTTGGCGTGGGTCAAAGGGACAGGAAAAGGCCCTGGGATGACAGGTATTACAAGGTCCATTAAAGGGAGGTTGTGGGGACTCCTTTTCTGGAAGACAGATCTGCATCCCCTGGGAGAAGGGTTGAAGCTCAGTCCTGCTCAAGGCAGGACGTTTAGCTGGACTATGCCTGGGTGGTAGAAAAGCCAGGAATGTAGTCAGTGTTCCGCCGTCCGTTGGCCAAACAGTTGTTTCATACTGTTCATTTGAACTTGGGTATCATAAGGCCAGAGTGAATGTTTGTGTAGGTATCCAAACTGAATTTGAATCTGGGGTTCATGATGTCAATTGGATGCAGTTTTATAATTAAGTCAGTTGTAAAAGCATTAAAATAAAGTAGGTGGAGTGGTGAAATCGTGGGAGTGTAATTCAGTCTTTTGTGACGTAAAACACTTTGCTTCCTTGCAAAGTTTTGGTGCCATTGATCATTAGACAAATAATAATTCTAAAGCAACTACTATGAGCAGTGCAGACTTCAAAGATGAGTTAGATATGGCTCCTGCCCCCATAAGGGCCATATTGAGAAACACTAGTTTTAAGGCATGTAATATGTATTCCCCGCAAAAGGGTATCTTCACCAAACCAGGGAAATCGAAACAGCCCAACCATCAAATGGGTTTTCTTTACTGGTGAACTTTTCAGAGCTCTTAATGTTAAGAACTGCATTGAGAATCTCCAACAGAGTAACATGTGCACCATTTCTGATGAGTTAATGTTTTTTCCCATGGACTATCCCACGAAACGACCACTCCTTGGAACACACTTTGGGCAACAGTGCTCTGAGCATTTGATAATGATGCTGGAACCCAGGTGGTGGTACTGTGCGTGGAAATGGTGGTTGGGAGGGAGAAGCATCAGTTGCCCTGGTGTACAGTAGACGCTCAGTAGCTATTTGGGAAGTTAACACATGCAAAGGTGAATTATCCAGGACGGGGGGTGTGGGGAGTTTTTAGCTTCACTATGGAGAAACAATTGGTTTAAATGAACGTTTATCATTGTAGTCTTACTTAAGAAGCCTGGAAATATCCAGCCAAAGGTTTTAGCAGACACTAGGACTACACTTGGAAGAGAGTTATTGGAGTTTTTTGTTTTTTTTAGTGTGTGTGTGTGTGTGTGTGTGTGTGTGTATTAAATCTGGCTAAGGTGTCTGGGTTTTGGATTCTGGACATGCAGTTATATTCACATACCAGTTACTCTCCTATGGGAAGGGATGTTGAGCGGCACCTCACCGGCTACGGTGTCCAGGAGATGCAGCGGGCACCTGCTCATCTTCAATAGTGTATTATTATTGTCATCATCATTATTATTATTTGAAGCCAGATTTACTCATAAAGAGTTAATTTTCAAGTTTGATGTTTTTTCTCCCACTCAGGTATTTGCCTTTGATTATTGCTTTTGGTCCATGGATGAGTCTAACACCTCAAAATATGCCGGTAAGTGGGCCCTTGCACCTGGTCCTCTGGCCTTTCTTCCCTCCTATCTGTTTTCTCTAATGATGTCTGGAATTTTGTTCCCCCATATGATTCACACCTACTCTTTCAAATTCTAGCACTCGGGCTTAGAAGGCAGTAGATCTGTTTTCAAGCCCAGGCTTTGCCCTGCACTTGCCTAGCAGCCTTGGAGGTAAACGTCCAGTTCGTCACCTGTAAAGGGGCAGCACTGTCTTCAGCACTGGGGATAACAGGGAGCCACCGTGGGTGCTCCGTGGTGGGTTTCACCGACACTGGCTTTCAGCAACCCCTGCCCTCTCTGCGTGTGTGGGCAAAGCACAGGGGCTGCTGGTTTCCTGGACCCACTCAGGTCCCAAGCGATGCAGTCCCTCCCTGGTCACAGGGACAGAATTCCATGCTCCTCAGGGAAAGGCTGCCCCAACTCCACTTGCACAGCCATTGACGTGTTCATCCCATTCCATGTGGCACTCCTGCCTGCTGCTGTGTTACACGACTGGTGACCCTGGTGAATCTTGGCCCTGCTAGGCATCCGTCACATTTGCTTTAATTAGGGAGGGAAGCATTTGTTTTGGTGAAGAAAGTCATTGGCTCCTTTCCTTCTAATTGTGTCCGTAACTATTTTTATGTAACTTTTAATTGACAGAGGTTGCATCTATTTTTCACTTACCGCATGATGTTTTGAAATATATATATATATATATATATATGTAGTGAGGAACACCTAAATCAAGGTGACTATGATTCTCTCACATATTTTCCTTGTCACCTAAAGCAAACTTGTTGAGAAATTATTTGACGTATAATATTTTCAAATATTACTCATCACGAACCAGGAAGATTCCTTCTGTTAGCCTGTCCAAACTTCATTCCTGCAATTTCAGCAATGTATTTTATTAAAACAGGTGACTAGTGCTTAATGTTGGTTGTGATTGTCTTTTTTTTTTTTTTTAAATCATCCTTTTGGGATTTTAGATAATGAATTCTATAGAGTGTGGAGTCTTGACTGGTAGCACTATGTGTATTTTTGTTCTGGATGTGTGCTTTTAGATTTAAATCGACTCAAGTAAAATATTTCCTACAGTTGCAGAGACAAATGGGGGCAAGTGCTATAGTCTCGCAGAGCCCAGTGTCTCTCCCTGTCCAGTTGCGGTTGTCCACGATGCGGCCAGACAACTCTGCCTCGGCTGGAGCTTCTCCTGTGCAGTCCCCACATACTTTCCAGGGACACATCTATACTCCTTGGACTGCACTGAAGGTTCTTGGTCAGATAGGCCCAGCCTGCCCTCCCACACTCTGGTTTGTGACCTCCCACCACCAGTCTGTGCCTCAGCCTGGCCTCTCGTGTCAGTTCCTCTCATACAACCAGGAAGCCAGAACACCTCAGAATAATCCCTGAAGGATTCATGAAACCCCTGCTGTGCATGGAGCCCAGGGAGCCCTTGAGAAGTCTAAAGATATTTTTAGATAATATTGAAACTCTGCATTTTATAGGTTTTAAGCACCATGGAAAATCCAAAGAGAGATTGAATACGGACAGGTGGAAATTTACAGGGAAACCATCATGAGGGGACTGACACTGAGTATAAAGGCTAAGCTGAGGAGGAAAACTGAGAAGTATCTGAGGGGCTGTGACGTCAGCCTGATTTAGCCTTTCCACCCTGTACTCTGCTTCTCTGCATAATCATCGTCACTGTATGATGTATAGTCACAAGTGTCCATGCATCCTAATCTTGCACCCAAGACAGTTTAGTTATAGCTGATTTTTAAGTAATACTGACATGATTTCTTTTTCTGGAAAAGCTTCACCTAATGGTCACTCTCCACTTTTTTTTTTTTTTTTTTTTGCAAAAAATTGGGCATAAAAATCTTCAATGATCATGTGGTAAAATAAGGCATGCGTATTATGTTGGGCACCATAAATATGTAAAATTTTTACTTAGCAATTTAAAAAGGAAAAGTGAAACGTAAAGCTCAGTCAAAGGCAGGTGCAGAAGGCACCAGGTGAGGAGGTGACGTGGGATCCAGGCAGGCTCCGCGACTTGGAGATCAGACCCGGTTTGCATCTCAGGGCTTGTGCTTTGATTCTCTTGGACGATGAATTTCTTGGAGCTACCATTTCTTTTCTGTAAGATGAAAATGACTGCACCTGGGTCATAAGGTCGTGGTCGTGGTAAATAGGTGGCTTTGCTTGCTGTTTAGTGGAGGTACCCATAAATGATACTTCATCCCACTTTTCCATAAGGGAAGATGTAAAAAATGGGCTAAGCAGAAGCTGCATGGGGGGGGGGGATGCCATGGGAGACCTATTTGTACATGTTGATCGAGGCCAGATAACAGGAAGTCCTGAAAGCTAAACTAAGAAGATGGTACTGATAAGGTAAAAACACAAGGGCTGTTGGAGCCATGCGGTTAGAATCATGCTTCAGGAAGATAGTCTTCTTTCTTTTCTGCACCCATTGGAATCACATCTTCCACGGTGGCCCACAGAGGCCACGTCAGCCTTCTGCAATGGGTCATTCATGTCCCAGCATAGAGGACAAACCTTTTCTTTTCTTTTCTTTTAACTAGATGTAACTTCCTTAAGTACAGCTGATAAAATTCAATGGCGGGACTTAAAAGATCTCTGTAGCGCTTCATTACAAATAGCATGTTTGGGAATACGTCAAAAGACAGAGATGATTTCTCATGGGCTGAGAGCCTACATCTTACTGAATTTTTAACTATAGGATCACATCGATATTATGTTTCAGTTAAACCTGAACGAGGGTTTCTTGGCTCATAGAGAGAGAGAGACCCTTTGTATATTAACCAGAAAGTGAGATTCTTGGTTGCGTGTCGCTCAAGTGTTCATCCGCCATAAATGCTCTGTCTAGTAAACGCACTAATAGTAGGTCAGTTGTTGGGTTTTCATACTAATTCGATTTTCCTTTTTTCCTTCATTTAAAAAGAATTCAGTTTTTAGCAGTGAATAGACACATTAAGATAGAAGCTTCCATTCTCTGGTGGGAAACGGAGGAAACGGAAGGGGGAGCCCACATTTCCTGAAACCAACCTATTTGCCAGGCTCCCTGGATAATGGCATCATTGATATCGAACCCGGCCTCTCAAAGCCGCTCTCAAAACTGGGGAGGGAGAGGATGAGCGAGTGGACTGGGAGGGCCGGGGGAGGCCGGGGGAGGCCGGGGGGCGGGGGGGCGAGAGCTCTCCACGTTCATGTGGTGTGTGGAAATGCCGTGTTCCCGACCGTGCTGTTGGTTAAAAGCTAGAGCAAGAGCCTCTCCTCCGGTCTTCTCCATGCAGAAGCACACAGTCCCCTACTGCGTGGAGCCACCAAGGAAATGGGCTTTTACACCAGACTGTGTGGTCAGTCCCGGCCCCACGCCCTCTGTCAGCGTGAGGCACTGCCTCTCGCTGAGCTCTGCTTCCCGGTACGGTAACTGGAGGTAACAAGGCAATCTCCAGCGCATGGTCGCCCTCCCTTGATGTGCATTATCGTCTTTATCGTCGTCTCATTGTGACAGTAGTAGCATCCGTACTTTGGAAAGAAAGAGATTTAATGAGACCTGGTTTTATCACAAGCTGCTAGACTTTGGGCAAGATAACCTTTGCGGGTCTCTTTCTTCATCTGTGACCAGAGAAGATACTGGTCTGGTATGATCTTAGATCCCTTCCAGCTTTCTGATTTAAAAAAAAAGAAAGAAACACATCAGAAATGGGCTCAGTGGCACATGCCTGTAATCCCAGTGACTCAGGAGGATCATAAATTCAAGGCCAACCTCAGCAACTTAGAAAGACCCTGTTGCAAAAAAATAAAAAAGGGCTGGGGATGTAGCTCGGTGGTAAAGTACTCCTGAGTTCAATCCCAGTACCAAAAAAAGGCGCGGGGTGCAGGGGGGACATTTTATGCAGACTGTCCAGCTGCGCCAGCGGACTTCTCAGAAGCAAATCAAAGCCTTTTTTGTTAAGCGCTTCGCCTTGCACTGAATCATGCTTTGAGGCATTTTACATTTTAAATGTATTACCTCTTCCCTGTATTGCCCTTTGACTAGGTAGTTCTGAGCGAGTTTGGCAGATAAGCCTGAGTCTGAAGCAGAAATGCTCGTGCTTGGACTGAGAAGACACTGAACAGCCGGCAGCGCTGGGCCCCAAGCATGGCATCACCCCATGAGCCCACATCCTCGCGTGTGCCTGCGCACGTGGCGAGGTCCGAGTTAGAGGTGACAAAGTTACCATGTGACAGTCAGTGCTGATAAACCCCAAGTGCTTTTCGTTAATGTTTCCATCTCTGCTGATTGCAGTTACGACATTCTGGACATGTATAACAACACATGTATAAAAAAAAGATCTCCTAAAATGTTGTTCCATGTTGGTAGATGACTGTGACATCCAGTAACCTCGATTTTCATTTCCTTCCTGGTTTTCTATAAATCTTCACACCAGATACAAAAGCATAGCTGGGGTCAGTGTGGATATGAACCTTCCCTGGCCCCAGAGAGTCTGAACTGTGGACTTAGAAATTACGTAACAATTCTTGCCATATGGTATGGGGCTCAGCATTGCCGAAGCCATGTGTTTCCCGGCATTGTTAATACCCTGCGACTCAGGAGGAAGGTCGCCCGTCGGATTCTTACTGTGCTCACGTTGCTTTCTGCTGGGGAGGATGGGTGAGCACCTCCAGGCCCGGGGCTGTGCTGTGGGGAAGGCAGTCACCGGTTTTTGTGTCTCCACGATGGGGACTTTATATGCTCAGAGGTGAAATGATTTGTTTCTGTTGCTTAACCAAAGCAGGACTAGTAAGGAGACGACACATGTCTATCAAAGTTGACATTCCAGAAATCAACAAAGTCAGGAGGAACTGGTTCTCAGTGGAGTTCATTCCACAACATTAATTGGTTAGACCATAAGGTGTTGTCCTGGGTTCTAGGGTGAAGGGCAGAGGCACTGGAGTCAGACATCCTGGGCTCACGTCTTGGCCCTGGCAC